TAACCATAAACTTCCAAGGAAAGAAACTACTTTGATGGGAAAGGGGGAAAGGCCCACAAACCCATAGGGATGCCCCATTGAGGACAACGGACATTGTGCATTCTTTTGCTCTCAACATAGCAAAATAAACTCTTATAGAAGGAATGCAACGACATCTGGGATGATGCAGCTCCCCTCTTTAAGACAATTTTTTTCTTTTAATAGATTCCTTTGGGCATTGGGAAAGAAAGTCTTGTTGCCTCTTAACTGCTGATTTAGTGACCTGAAAATTGAGTCAAATTGTAAAAACAACCCACAACTCTGCTTTTAGTTTGCCTGTGGGAGAAAGAATATTTAAAAATTATGTATTCTGTTTTTTTTTTTTTTTAAAGGAGATATATGCCTGAATCACAGAAAGATGAAGTGCTGATGGATGTGTTTTTCTTTAACTTGGGACTGTCATTATGCTTTTCACAGTAGTTGTGATTTCAATAAAAATTTGTAGATTGACAACATGCAAAAATGTCCCTTTTTTCAAAACTCTCTTCTGCTGTTTTTCTTTGTCTTCTCTTCCTTGTCTCCAAGGAAGACAAGGCTAGGATGAACATTAATGTTTTCTGGAATGTCAATTTTTCAGGATAAACCAATACTTCAAATAATTCATTTAAAGTAATGTTAAATACATGATTCTGCATGTAACTTAGTAATATGTTGATGTGGTCCTTAGCTTTTGGATAATATTTTGTCTGTTTTTTAGAGACGGAGACCTTTACTCCTAGGAAAGATGGGGCTTAGAATTAGCAGTTATGCCTTCTTTCCTAGTTCTTGTTTCTCCCCTTTATATTAAAATCTACTATAATAGAGATAATTTTTCTTCTTTTTTTGATTCTCCAACTTATAGTTTCAACTGCAATCTACTCATCTTTTGGATGGGAAAAGATATTCAAGAAATTGAGCATCCATGAATGCATTTATAACATAATACACATTTTTCAAGGTGAGATACAGCACAGATTTCATCACCTGTGTCTCTCTTGGAGCTAGTAAATAAGCAGTTTCAAGGATGAATAATGTATAAAATATGTCTACTTGAGTGTTCTTTCCTGCTCTTCCTTGAACTAGTTTTATTTGAAGAGAGAGAGCTGCATATGCTGTTTGTATACGGAGGGTTAAAACCAAAAAAACCAAACCCATTGCCATCAAGTCACTTCCAACTCATAGCAACCCTGTAGGACAGAGTAGAACTGCCCTGTAGGGTCTTCAGGGTTGTGATCTTTTGGAAGCTCTGTCTTCTGAGGTGCCTCTGGGTGAGTTCAAATTGCTAACCTTTTGGCTAGTAGTCAAATGCTTAACCATTTGCGCCACCCAGGGACTCCTCAAATTTTGTCTTATGGAAGAAACAGACATCTGGAAATGTGAAAGTGGGCACATTGCATCCTCCTATTATGACTTGGCCCTATTTGCCAACATAAGTGGCTTTTTATTGGTGACTTGTTCTCATTTTGTCCAACCTCAGAGGAAGCTTCTCTTTCAGGCACACAGAACAAAATATACATATTTTTTGCTCTTTTGTTTGCCAATGAAAAATCACTTTTGAAACAGGTAAACATAGGCCTGAACCCCACATGCACGGTTGTGAGGCACAAGGAGCTTTTTCCATGTGAGGCTTGACACATTCCTAAGGATTATGAAGGAAATGTCACAAATAGATATTTTTCCAAAATGGCATGAATTCAGTTCAGCCTGAAGACTATAATTTGAGTTTTGTGTGCTTAATAAACACTGGATTGATTCGACAAAGCCTTTCAAGTGTTACATCGTCTTTCCCTAGGAAGTTTGCTCTTTCATAGCTAAAAATAACAAGTCTGTTAGGGTAAAATATATTGCTTGCAAGAACCAAGTGCTAGTCATGCCATAAAGATAAGCTTCTTTCCTTCTTTTCAAACTTAGGCCACTTTCAGAATGCCTAATGTGTGTGGGAGAGCTACTGTCACTCCTCTATATCCAGAAGAAAGTTTCTTATTAATTTCTCCGGCTCCCTCAAATTCACACTCCAATTCTCCCAGGAAACCAGCTACCTGGTGGCTGAGCCAGATCCCTCAGCACTTGCTTACAGGCTTTAGTCAATGTCCTTTGGTGGTGGGGGAGCTGCAAGGTAGGGCTGGGCTGGTTCATAGGCAGCTAGGAGGGAGCCTGTGTGCTGTGACTGGTGCAGTGCCTAAGCATGTCTGTCCCTATACTATCCCATGACATTGAAAACATCCAGCAGTGACAACTCATGACACCATTAAGAACAATTATTACAGTAACAGGCTTGTTGAGAAAGCCAAATACAGACACCTAGGGAGTTAGTCATAGGACATAGGACACGGATTAACTGCAATCCTGTGAGCAATTACTTTCAATAGATGCCCTCGGGAATTTTTAAAAGCTTTATACTTCTTTGGAACCCTAGGGCAGCCCCTCAGAGGTAAGAAGGGCAGTTTTTATTATTCTAATTTGATAGAAGTCAAATGGCTTCTATAATATAATAGTAAACGCAGAAGAGTCCTGAATTTAGACGATTTAGGGAAGATAAGAGTCTCTGTGTGGCTCAAATACTTAAGCATTCAACTACTAACCAAAAGTTGACAGTTTGAACCCACCCAGAGGCACCTCAGAACAAAGGCCTGGTGATCTGCTTCTGAAAGGTCACATCCTTGAAAACCCTATGGAGCACAGTTCTACTCTGCACACATTGGGTCACTATGAGTTGGATTTGACTCGAGAGTAATGTCCTCCCCGCCACCCCAGAAGGTAACAGAGTTGGCAGGATCTTACAAAGGGTAATAAGGCCCCTTCACCCTTACAACCAGAAACCAACCTGGAGGCATGAGGTATGACTGGGAGACTCCCAAAACAGAGATGGGAGAGGGTCTGTTCAAGAATTTACAATACTTCATGATTTTACTAAGAGCTGTGCTCAGGTCAGTGTGGTTGATTATTTAACGACTTAGCCGTTTCCTAGTCTATCTCACACACTGAGTCACTTTCTCAGGGTCTCCACACTTAATGGGAAGTGGGAAGCCAAAGTTCTGTGTCTTCTCTGCTGAGAGATGCCTACTTAATTGCTTCTACAACTGTTTTAAACTTGGTGGGAGTCAGTTTCCCTAATTAACTGTGGTGTACATGTCCAATCATGGACAGAGTCATCACTCTGGAATGGTTGAGCCCATTTCTTTAAGAACTCATCTTCTTGAGTAAATAAAGACAATGAAGAACACCATGTAGAGCAGAGGAAAGAGGATGGGCTTCTGTGTGAGACAGCTCTGGGTTTGAATCCCAGCTCTAACTATCCATGGCACCAAGGACACTTACCTTCAGAGTCTCAGTTTTCCCAGCTTTAAAAAAGGGGGTAACATACACCACGATCACCATCACTCACTGGGGGTATTCTGAGGATTAAATTTTCATTAAAATCAGTTGATATTAAAAAAGGAAACTCACTGAGGTAAACCCATGTGCTCACATTATTGTGTAGGAGAGTAAGACAGGACTTTGTCTCATGATTTTAAAAGTTGAATTATAATGCCTTTCTGGATATATTAATACTGCAAAACTTGTTAACACTACTGATCCATTAGCAGCCACATTAAGCTGCTTTCCCATGCCATGCCATGGTCACGCAGGAGGCATGCTCCAGGCAGATTTCACGCATTTTTGTTGTTGGGTTGGCAGAGCTGTCAAATGCCAGTTTTGAAAGATGAGGCTATCTACAGATGCTTGCAAAACACAGTTTAAGCAGAGAGACAAGAAAGAAAATATCCCTTGGCCATTCACTGTGTGCTAGATAGGTTCTGTGTCCAGCAAGATGCACTTTTCACTCTGGGCCAAGAGGTGGATCTGTATGTCTGCATCAGGGCTCCGTTGTCCTTTGGTTTCTGGTCGGGCTCTGTCAACGAGGAGCACCGTCAGAGATTGGGAGGTGAGAGGAGAGTGAACGAGGGGTGTTAATCTCCCCACTCCCTCTCCATGAAGTTGCCACAGGCTAGTTGTGGCCCTAGACAGACAGCCCGAGTTTCTGTAGGGCAGCCCTCACCACACCATCGCCTCTCTGTCTTTAGGTTTCTACACCGTTCTCTCCACTTGTCCGTTCAGACCTCAGATGGTACTAGTCCCTGGGTATTATCCTCACATTTGTGTGGTTGTTGTTGCTAGGTGCCCTGCAGTCGGCTCTAACTCACAGCAACCGTATGTATAATAGAACGAGACATTTGTATTAGGATGAAACATATGGATTTGCCAGTTTTGTAGGTTGATTACTGGCAATTCATATCTAACCTAATAAATAACCACACTATTAAACTGTTTCAAATGTCCAATTAAAGCACGCCAATTGTTTTCTGCCAGCTCATTAACAGATATCCAGAGGGAAAGGTTTATTATTAAAATCAAGTAAGGCAGGTTTGACATAGTGGTAATAAAGAAACAGTTCTGGATTTTTTAAAAGTAGAAATATTTACTGTATTTGTATTCTCTATGTCAGCTTAAACCTTTGCCAAGTCGTGCAGACATCGAACATGGTCATATTTGTATACCTTAGCAGAGTAAACGCATAGCTACTCAGAGCAGAGGTGACTGGCCCAAGCCCGGTCTGGCACACCTGCAGCCCATTAATGACACACTGGGGCTACTGGGGAGCACTGCCTTAGTGTACTTAGTATTGTCTACGCTCACAATACATGCTAAGTACACTTACCATAGATGTTAATAAGTTATTGATTAGTCATAAAAACTCATGGTTTGTTGTGTGATTTTTATTTGGTTATAATTTAATCATTCTTAACCCTTTAGCATGTAACAATTACTTCCAAGGACTACATAGAAATGATATGTCTTGCTTAATATAAAACTCAGCTGTAGAAGTAAATAGGTTTATACATATTAACTGCTGCTTAGGTCAAATAATAACACCATGTTCACTATTTACAGATACTGTATCCCTTCAAATAAAATAAAAAACAAAATCCTGCAGTGCTTACCGGATCCCTTCTCACCAGCTCTCCGTTGGGTACTACTTCAACGAGATGGATAATGATAATCGTAGAATTCAGAACGTAGGTAAGAAACATGTTCTTGTGCAGGGTAACACGATGGCAGCCGAGAGTCCTGGGGGCGGGGAGGGGGCATAACAAAGCATAAACCAGGGATGAAATGTTGAAGTACCTGGACAAACCCCACATGGGAAATATTTTAAATATTTCCTTTAACAACAAATCAGAGAACATAAAGAAATAAGTGAGGCTGCTCCCATCTCTTAGACCCATCACTACTTTTCTGCCCAATTTTTTGAAATAGTTTTTAAAACAGTTTTTCAGTCACGGCAGCTCAAAGTTTTCAGTCCTCAGGGTGACTTCTTATAATAACTCAAAGAGTTAGTGATAAAATCACTTTTAATTATAACAAATGCCATGAAATTAATTAAAATAAGGATTCTTATAAGAGAAGCCATTAAGTTTTGGAACATGTTTCAAATGAAGAGTCTATAATATAGTTCATTGATGTAACACAGAAATTGCATGATAAGATGGGGTATGAGGGCATGAAGTCAGCACCAAGGCTGCCTGCGACAAAGTATTGAATCCGTGTCCTTGACCCAACGCGTACACAAGATTTACTAAGTCTCCTGTCGTCCTTCTCTTTACCATCCCGCTAACCTCTTCTTAGATCTCATATTTCAACAGCATCAACTTGTGGTTCCTCTTCTCCATAGTGTCCTGATGGTGGAGCTCAGACACAAGCAGAGAATTCTAAATAGGCTCAGGCTAGATCTCCTTGTGAAGCATTACTGTGGTCTGCAACCTAGGAGACCTATTTGAGTGCTGCTGCTTCTTGGCGTTGCCATTTCCAACCTTTTGGATACTAAGCAACTTGTTGGAATTTTTCATTCCTTTCTCCTTCACTTCATTAGTGTATACATATGTATTTGTGTGAATTCTCGCATATATGAACATTATTTTGAATAACTTATTTCACTTTTTTTTTTGGAGCCCTGGTGGCACAGTGATTAAAAGCAAAGGCTGCTAACCAAAAGGTCAGCAGTTCGAAGCCACCAGCTGCTCTGTGGAAACCCTATGGGGCAGTTCTACTCCGTCCTATAGGGTCGCTATGAGTCAGAATCAACTCGATGGCAACACATTTTTTTTTAAATTTACTTTTTGATGTAACTGGAGATATCCTGCAACATAGCTATGGTAGAATTGGAATGATTATCCTAGAGGAATAAGAATCTTTTATTTATCATATTCGATTGCATTACAAAATGTTTAGCATTTCACTACATGAAAGCTTAAAACATGTAGTTAATGATGACAACGACTCATTATAACAAAATAAAGTAAAACTTCAAAATAAAATAAAAATCTTAGGAATTTTGAAAAGGAAATTCTGGGGAAAGATGAAATACGCAAATTGTCTATGTTTACCATTTTTTCCTATATTTCAAAATCAAAGAAAAGTGAGTTATCAATTATCTGTACAAAAAGGTAACTTTAAATTTAAGTAATGAAGGAATCTGTTAGACCGTATATTCGTTATTCTAGCTACATTTTTCAATTTTTCAGAAAGCTAAGCATTAGTAAATAGTTCATAAGTAATATTTTAAAATTTTCAACTTGCTAAGCAGGGGTAGCATGCAGAACTTCACCTCCAGGAGGTGGTGTATGATAAAGATGAGATTTAGAAAAGAGCTTTCACACACACGCGCGCGCGCACACACACACACACACATACACACACTACCATATGCTATCTAATTTAGCAGTAGAGAAATGTGTTAAATAAACTGAGCCTAATTGTTTTTAGGAGCCCTGGCGGCACAGTGGTTAAGCACTTGGCTGCTAACCCAAAGGTCAGCGGGTTCAAACCACCAGCCACTGCAGTGGAGAAAGATGTGGCAGTCTGCTTCCGTAAAGATTTACAGTCTTGGAAGCCCTATGGGGCAGTTCTACTCTGTACTGCCCGGTCATTATGAGTTGGAATCGACTTGACGGCAACAAGTTTGTTTGTTTTTTTTTTTTTGGTTAACAGTTTTTATTATACAGTGAAACTTGTGAGAGACGGAACTCGATGAGACTGCCTTGTTTCTCTGGGTCTTGCAAGTTTTCTGCCTTTGACAGGTGTTGTGTCTGCTCTGCAGAGCATCTAGCTGAGTTTATACCTTCCCATTATTAGATTTAGGTGATAAATCAGTGAGACTTGTTTCTCCTCCCCAGATTCAAAACTGCTGTTTGGTAGGTTTTTGGAATTGAGACAGAGTAGGACAAAATCAGATGTTTCCTACAGAATTTGTCCCCACACTCTCTACAAGGGTTTTGCCAGATTATTTAGCTTTGGGACTAATTAAAGTTGAATAGGGAGCCCTGGTGACACAATGGTTAAGAGCTATGGCTGCTAACCAAAAGGTTGGCAGTTTGAATCCATCAGCCACTCCTTGGAAACCCTATGGCATTTCTATTCTGTCCTATAGGGTTGCTATGAGTCGGAATCGACTCGATGGCAACAGGTTTGCTTCTTTTGTTTTTTTCTTAATACAATCATATGTTATTGTCCTACATAGATTATAAAGTCATTCCTGTAAAGGAGAATCAACATTTTTAATTCTCCTTTATTGTGAAATCAGTATCGATATCAATTTAATCATTTTGCCATAGATAATGTAATCAGGTGTATAGACACAGCCTCAGAATAGAAACCTTCATTGGAATTTTATTTCTCTCAGTGTTTTAGAAGATGATTGTGGTTAACAATGCTAGGTTTGCAGGGACAAAGAATTTACACATGACAATAGGTCGTCTTCTTCTAGAGATTCCTCTTGATCTTGGTTGAGTGAGTCAAGGGCAAGAAGAAAGACTCAGTTAGGAATCATGGCTTTACTAACCCCGCTTCTCTTTTGACCAAATCCACTTGTGATGCATCGCATAACTTGCCCAGGTTCATTTGAACTTATTGTCATGAACTTCATAGATTAGAGTGAAGGTAAGGGAAGAAAGAGGACCCTCTTCTCAATACTTAATGGAATCTTAGCCATGTTGCCACAGTGTATTTATGGGCTCACGGGACTGTCTCATTTTGGGAAGGAGGCACATTGTTTTTGCAGACTATACAAATCCATTCTGTTCTCCTCAAAGACACGGTTAAATAGCATATTTTAACTCATTTATTTTTCTTGCTCTGCATGACTTCCAATGTTGCATGTCTCTTGCGATTTGCAGAAGACTCCTACACACACACCTCTGCGGAGTTTACCATTTATTGTAGTACCTTAAAGAAGAAAATCAAAAGTGTACTTACTTAAAGTACAGGAAAATCCCCAGCGAAATCACTAAGGTGAAAATCGACAAAGAATGACCCACAATAGCCAGATAGTACAGAACATACGCATTCTGGAAGAAAAAACAGTTACAAAAACAAAAAGATGAATAAACAGCTGTAGCAGAGGGAAAATAGTGTCTGCTTTTAAATATCAGTGTAAATCAACAAATAGTTTCCTCCCTTGGAAAAAACCTACTAAAATAATAACCTAGAGAATTAAATTATTTTTTATTTTTACTGATGTTATTTTACGGAAATAAATTGACCTATTTTCAAAGAACAAAGTTACCTGAGATGAGTTAAATCTCATTCAGAAACATATTTCACAAGTAGTTTTAAATGAAACTTGAAAACACAGTAGTCATGCTCAACCACTAGCTGAAAGATTGGCAGTTTGAACCCACCCAGAGGCGCCTTGAAAGACATGCCTGGTGATCTGCTTCTGAAAGGTGATAGCCTTGAAAATCCTATGAAGAAGTGCTACTCTGCACACATGGGGCCACCATGAGTCGAAATCACCTCAGTAGCAACTAATAACAACAACAACAACGCGTAAGCACTTCTACTCTGTAACACATAGGGTCACCATGAGTTGGAATTGATTCCACACAACAGGTTTGGTTTTGGTAATATGTAAGATTAAAACAACAGCTCATAATTTAATTGTCATCCTTGTGCTAGTCCCAAGATTGAGAGTTTCTGTTTTTGTATTTAAATATATTTTCTCTCTCTCTAAAGATATGTATTTTTCAATCTTCTGTGCCTGCATTTAGTTGGAAGATTTGTGGAAAGAATTGTGATCATTATATGTGCCTAGAGGGGGTAGAGGGGCCCTGGTGGTGCAGTGGTTAAGAGCTATGGCTGCTAACCAAAGGGTTGGCAGTTCGAATCCATCAGCCACTCCTTGGAAACTCTATGGGTAGTTCTACTCTGTCCTATAGGGTCACTATAAGTTGGAATCGACTCGATGGCAAAGGGTTTGGGTTTTTCTTTGTTTGTTTGTTTGTTTTAGCGGGGATAGCGGAGAGTACTAAAGGTCAAATATGATAACACTGAGATTTTTATTTGGACCTGTACTATCTGTAGCCATTCAGTTAACAGGGTTACTTTTTTTTTTTTTTTTTTTTAAATATTAATCTGCTCATTCAGAAAATTCCTTACTCAGAGACATGCCATTTCAATTAGACTTTATTAAGGAAATAGCTCTCCATTAGGATGTAGGGAGACTAAGCAATTTGTGAAGAGGTAAAATGGCTTTGGTGCCTCAGCCAGTACCTGGTCTCTAAGCTATTTATTCTTCTTGGCTTTTTTGTTTTTGGTGTTGTTCGTTTGTTTTGTTTTTAATGAAAGGAATTTTTTCTATACTCCAAAAGCTTCTCTACAGCCAACAAAAGCAGTAATGTGCTTCTATCTTTCAACTTAGTAATTATTTAGTATACAGGCATATCTTTAAAGAAAACAAAAAGTTTCTGTTATAGCCACCAGGGTCGCTCAGAGATACCCTGTATGGCTAAACGTTGACCATTTATTTCTCCTGATCTGTGGGAAGAGGGGTTTGTTGTAGGCTTAATGATCTCTTCAGATTTCTGGTACATCTGAAGAAGAGAGAGAATATCTTCATTTTTCTCCCCTCAATGGCTTAAATCAATGTTTCTGTGCAGAGATGATATTCAAAACACTTAAGAGCCAGTATGACGCCCGTTTAAAAAATCAGAATGAACTCCCACTGAAAATAATCTGAACAGCCACACCTTTACTAATGGGCTCAGTAACAATCTCATTCTAAGAGGTTCCTTCAAGGTGTGATAGTGAAACTCAGGTCATGGCCAGCCCAGGGGGGCAACTGTTAGTTTGTGGCTTGTGGAAAATCTGTAGATTTGGAACTCTTCTAGGAGGAGAGAAATATTAGACAGCCCCTGAAAATGCTTAATGTCCTGACATCATAGTGAATCTTATCATATTCTCTACTGGACATGATTCATCTTGCCATAAATGACTGATTCCATATTCTAATGGAACCCCCTTTGCCACCGAGGCTGACCAAGAAGTGAAACTCATCATTTTCTCAAATGCCACTTCACAGAGTCCCTAGAACTTACAAGTCATCATCTGATTTCCTTCCATAAAATCTGTTGACTTCTTGGTAACAGATATTTTACAGTTATACTTCCATTTTCATGTATAAATCATGGTGTTTTCACCCAATACTGAAATTTAAAAAGGAACCTACCTTCAGCTTCTCAGGAGTAAAAGCATTGCACAGAGTATAGTTGGACCAGGTTTGATTGTTCTCCGGATGCTTAAACCAATCCCCATTTTCATCACAGTATTTCGTAACTTTTTCTGTTAATGAAAAATAAATTATGGCATTAATATCTTGAAATCCTAAGAATGAAAAATAATAAATTATAACTGAAAAGCCATTCCAAGGTGTAAATCACTATATAGAACTTGAATTTGAATATAAGTCAATAGAGGCTACCATGAATCATGTATTATAGAAGGTATTTTAACATGCACTATCTTATTTTATCCTCAGCAGAGCACTGTAAAGCAGGCATTACTATCTCCATTTTATAAACAAGAACACAGACAGTGAGAAAGGTTATAGAGTTTGAAAAGTCACTAGATAGTGGGTGCACCAGGATTTAAACCCAGGTCAGTCAGCCTCCAAAGTGCTACTTACACTCTATCGCATACTTTTTAACAAACATTGTAACTTCTGATTATAGACAGGAACTATGTGAGGAGAGCAAGACTATAGCTTTCATTTATATATAGTGTTTTTTATTAGATTGACTGTATGAAGCTGCAGTTTTTGTGGGTCAAAGTGGCCAAATATTGGCAATTTCATATGGTTAAATCCAGCAGAACAAAGAAGTCTGAAATTAAGGGATGAATCTAGAAGTCATTTTTTTCTGCTTCTCAAAAGATTTCATTTGTATCATCTCTCTCCATCCCACAAGGTTACAGCTGCGGTTTGTAACACAGTCTTTACTATTTACTTTCTCAAACATCTCTTAGGTATTTATCTCTTTGGAGCCAGTTAGTGTAATTTGCTGACTCAGCTGGATCGGCATATTAAAGATTTCCACCTTTGCCACGGGCCAGGTACTGTGCAGAATTATCTTCTTTAATATTAATAATGATTCTTTGAGGTAGATATTGGTCTTCTTACTGTATATATGAGGAAACGGAGGCTTAGAGAAGTTAAGTAAATTCCCCTTCAATATCTAGTGAGTAGAAAGGTCAGGTATCAAATCCAGGTCTGCTTGATCGCAAAGCTACTATAGGGTTATTATTAAGCACTGTATTAAGCCTCAAAGTCTGGTGACAATTGTTCCAGGACTGGAGACTGGAGTCAGAAGAAAATTCAATGACTGAGTCCTTAGTGTGAAGGTGCAGGCACAGATGAGAATATATGATGATAGGAATGACAGCTGGGAGTTAAACTTGGCATAGGAATCAGAGAAGTTTTAGCCAAAGGTGTCCGTGTCTTTGGGGTTGATGTTTAGCAAAGAGAAGGAAAGCCTGGCACTTTACCACACCTCTAACCAGCATCTCAATAATTCTGTGGTTGCTTGCTTAGGTTGAGGGTTTGTTTCTATTAAAAGCTTTCTGTTAGGAAAGGGACAAGAGAGGGGGCTAGGCAAGGCTTCGGGAGACTTGTGGTTTTTTGTCAAATGTTCTATGAGTATAAAATGAGATAATATGTAGGAAAAATTTTTTGAAGAGTAAAATGTGATATTCACTATAAAGCATTCCCATATTACTTTTATAACTAAAGTGAATTTGGTGTCATTCATTTACTCAACACGTGTTTATTGACTGCCCATGCTGTGTGAGACACAATGCTGGCTTTTGTATGATCCATTATAACAGTATCAGTCTTATTTTTAAAATCTGAGTATATTTTTAAAATCTGCTATTGGAAGAGCAGTCTGGAAAGTGCCTAGAATTAACACCTTCTGATTTATTTTCGCTACCACACTGACTGCTGTTTTATATAATTTTCAAGGTTATAAACATTCCATTGTGCATGTTACACCATCTCTGTATATGTGAACTCTAGATCAAGGATCTGCATGTTGTTTTTGTTAGGTGCCATTGAGTCAGTTCTGACTCACAGCAACCCTATTATGTACAACAGAACGAAACACTGCCCAGTCCTGTGTATCTGCAGTAAGTCTCTGTATAAGTCACTAAGTCTGAGACGATAGAATTGAAAAATAATTGAATAAAACTATTCACAGAGTGTTAGAAAAGTTAATTTTATAAACTAAAATTTAAGATCAATGTGCACAACTGACCAGCAACGTGACTTAAAAAATAAGGACAGCTTGCAATGTTTGTACTACTGAGCAATACTTCAATTAAAGAACCCCTTTAGGATGGGTTGCTATGAGTCGGAATTGACTCGACGGCAACGAGTTTTTTTTTTTTCTTTTTTAGAATGGGCTAAATGCTGTAGACTATGATTAGGTAGGTATATTTCACAACTGCTTATTTTCTCAGAAAGATGATAACTCTAAAAGCTTCATAGTAAAATATGAAATTAAAATAAATATTCTACCTGATGAATCAAAGTCTGGAAAATAATCTGGGCAGGTTGCAGAGAGCATCACACCAGCTGGTGTGTCATCCCAGCACATCCATCCATCCCAGGTGCGGTTGCAATAAGGACCTGGCCATTGAGAAAGAAGTTAACATTGAAGTCATGTGGCTTTAACTGTAATAAAACATTGATCTCAGGACAATCTTATGGGTAGCTGAACCCTCTACTCCAGGTACAATGGCTAACATTTCAAATGAGCAAAAGTCATTTATGTTGGAAATGAAGTTTCAAATAGTTTTAGCAAATCCACTACCAAATTGTCTAATTGGATTATAGGGCTAGTTCTAATCCTACTTTGTAAGAGATTCCAAAGTTGACCTTATTAAAAAGCAAGTAGCACCAAAGATTGGCCAGCAGAGGTACATTTTTCTCTGTTCTCCATTTATTTAATTGTGAGAACATGATTCTGAGGTATAAATTGGTTGTTAATCAAATGGATTTTGAGCTGTGTTTATTAGTTTTTACTTTCTGAAACTTCATCCTTCCTTAAAAATATCAAACCAAGAAATTGGATTTAGATTGGTTGGACTGGTAGTGCCTGTAAGATATGTTTTTTTTTCCCCCAACATTATCAGCATAAGGCTTTGAAGAGCAACTGTGTAAGACAGCATTACTCAAAACAATTTATGACATGGACTAATTCTTCAAAATATTAAAAATTACCTTAAGAATGTGAACATTCTCAAAGAATGTATTTTTTCAAAACTTCATCAGCATGTTGCATCTAATCTACCCTTTCCTTACGTTCTTCAGAAAAGTTCAGGAAATGACAAGAGGTAACTGAATTTTCTGGAGGAAATTTGTCCTTGGCAATCTGATTCTCACAACTAAATATGCTATTTGGGAGTCCAGGTTTAAACTAGACAATTAGGTTACAATTGAAAGTTGTCAAAAATTTTGGAATCCTCAGCAGGATTTAACAGGTGCATAGATGTCCAGCATATCTTATTCTGGGGCTCTCTACTCAGAAATGGAAACGCTAAAAGCAGCAATATCAGCAACAGCAACAAAATAAAGGTGTTGTCTTTACCTACAACTAATGGAATTTACATTTTTGTAAAATTTTCTTCATTTGTTCTTTAAAAGAAATACATGTCATATGTATGTTGTCTTTCCTCCAAAAGTTTTCCTTTAAAATATTTCCAGAAATGCTACAAGGGAACTCTTGTGAAGGATATGCAATAGCATATCATCTCTGGGTAAAAGCCTTAACATTAAAAATACCTATATGGCTTTAGAACATATGGATCCTACTATAAACCTTTGAAAGGGCTACCTCTGAAAGCTCTATTTTTCTTTTTTTCTTTTTATTTTTGAGAATATACACAGTAAAACATACACCAATTCAACTCTTTCTACATGTACAATTCAGTAACATTGATTACATTCCTCAAGTTGTACAACCATTCTCTTCCTCCTTTTCTGAGTTGCTCCTTTCCCATTAACACAAACCCATTGCCCTCTAAGGTTCCTATCTAATCTTTCAAATTGCATGTTGTCACTTTGATCCCGTATAAATAGTTCTTAAAAGAGCATAATGCTCAAGGCAGACTTTTTTTGCTAGCTAAGCTAGACTATTGTTTGCTTTCAAGAAGACTTCAGCAGATATTTTTGGTTCAAGGTTTAAAGACTATCTCAGGGCAGCAGTTTCAGGGGTTTATCCAGCCTCCATGGCTCTGGAAAGTCTGGATTCCACCAAAATTTGAAATTATGTTCTACATTTCCCCCCTTTTGATCAAGATTCTTCAATGGAATCTTTGATCAAAATGTTCAATAATGGTAGTCTGGGACCATCCAGTTCTTTTGGTCTCATGGTAAAGGAGGTGGTTGTTCATGGAGGCAATTAGCCACATTCCATATCCTCTTCCTATTCCTGACTCCCCCTCTCCCTCTGTTGCTCTAGGTGCTATTCTTAATGTTAAAGTGATTCAATTTTAGGTTCAAACTCCTATTGGAGATGGCATTTGCAGCCAGTTAATGAATCACATATAAAAACAGTCTTATTAGTTTAGAATTGCATTTTGCTTCTGACTAAAATAATGGTTGGTTTGATCACTTTATATGTTCATCAACATTGGCTCCAAATATTTTCTCAGTGCTTTCAAAAGTTAAGTTCACCTTAAAAGGATAAGGATTTACCTCTATAAAGGTATTCAAAAGAATGAGCCTCAGGCTTTGAAGGCAGTCTCCCCCGCAACCCCACCAAAAAAAAAAAAAGTTGAACAATGACCTATAGCACAAAGTTCAACCTCCTGAGATGACTAAGATTAAAATGAAGGGGGCTGCACTCACTTGGTCTCTGAAAATCTCCGTCTCGTGTTTCCATTGCCTCACTTGCTTTAGAGACATGGTTTAACCTTTGGGCAGAGTTGCATCTAATGCCTTCTTAGGTTCTTAATAAACACTGAATCTGCTCCAGGCTGAGGGTAAAATCATGTGCATCTGTCTTCCAACTGACCTAAACTTGTTGTTGTTGTTTAAAGGAAAAGGCTGAAAGTAGGAACTACGAGTTAAGACTATTTGAAGGCAAACCTCGTGTAGTGACGAGTATATTTAACTCATTTTTTTTTTTCCTATCAAGCAGAGGTAAATGGATTGTCATAAGGATGTACAGGGGTCTACAAAATCCTATTAGCTCTTCTGAAATGTTTGAGGGGACAGGGAAGAGGATTTAAATGCATGTAGCAATTTTTGGTCATTGCAACCTCCTTTCTGTTTTCCTCTGGGCCCTCTAATGCTAATAAAATATGTTTAGCCTAGAGAATATTTGGGTAGTCACATAGAGCATTCTAGAGAAGATGATAGATAGACAATGTTTGCCTGTCTTTATCTAATTCCTCTGGAAAGTGGGGATAGAAAGGGAGAAAGAATAGCATGAACTTGCCAACTGACAGTTAAGGGAAGACAGCTACCTAATTAATCCAAACAAGACAGGGTTTTGACAGGTTTCACCTAGGGCAAATTCTCTGCCTGCCATTTTCTGATTCCCCTTCCTGTCATTTTCCAATTCCACTCCCTCACTTAGGCCTGTATCATCCCTACCTGCCAGGTATGAATAGTGAGTTACGGTAGGAATTCTGTCATAAGAGCACATGTTTGTCAAAGAGCAGTTGGATGAATCTGAGTAAAGAAACTAGGCATGTCTGCTGGATGAAATAACATACCATAGTATGAAAGTCGCTTTGAAGACTACCGACATATTAAATTAAATTAGAATCAGTCAGCACATATTTACCCACTGAAGAAAATAAGTCTTTGATGATGTTTGAAACACAAGTTCACAAACATCCTTCTCTTACCTTCTCCTTCGTATGGTGGTGACTGTGCCATTCGATCATAGCACTTGTATTGTGCCTCCATCAACCTCTTCCGTCCTAGAACGTATAGAAACGGCTCGGGCTCCATATCTTCAAGATAGGTGTCATTTGGAGTGTCAGGAAGAATTGGGGTGGGAAGCTGTATAAAAAGGAAAATTGGTTACAAATGGAGAGTAGGGATAGATGAGCACATAAATAAATGAGAAAAACAAAAACTTAGAAAACATTTGTTTTTCCTTCTACAAGCAACAAATATTCATAGTCTGCATGTACAATATTTTTGTTTTATAATTTAAAATTATATTTACATTTCATCTACAAATTTTGTATTGCATTGGTTTCCACGCATTATTGAACATGCATAGCTCCTACACACACCTATGCACCTCTTTATCATCAAAGATTGTTTTAATTTTATTATTATTATAAAGTTTAGAAGCAAACAAAGCAAATAATCTGATTTCCAAAAATACTAGTATTATATCAACTTTACCATTTTTGGAAATCTTAAGAATCATGAATCATGTTATTAAAAATAGACATGTCAGGGCAGTAAATAAACATTTTTACTGGATTCTTTCAACTAATTTTTATTTGTGCTCAGATTGTTCACCGTCAAAAATTTACCCTATTTATTCTGTAGAACAGAAAAAAATCTCTTCTTCTGAGATATCCTGCCCGCTGTTAATTGGCCTTAATCCCTTTAAACTGGTTTCATCAGCAGATGACCTATAAAGGGTAATTCATTTTCACCGCTGAAAATCAACCTAAATCTTAAATATCTTACTCATGCATTTGCATTTTCAGTACAGACTGACACTAATTTTGTCAGTCTCAGTTAATCCCCATCACCACCACAGGTCTTTGTTTATCAGAGTTGTGTGGTGTGTGTCTGAAAGATCACTGTCTAACATATGGACCTTTCTAACTTGTATTTATACAGATTTCAATTTCTTTTGTGGTTATAGCTTCAGTTCTTAGTGGTGTTTGAATCTGTGGCTTTTTATATCCCTGTTCTGCTTAGAGATTTTGTTGCAGAAGACCTGAAAAATACAGCCTACACTGACGCTCCTTCTTCTGAAGGTAGGAATACAGTTTGCTGTCTATGTCATCGTGTAGATCGGGCATCCTTGTCATATGAGACAGCATATCACTAAAACCTAAACTGTCAGCACACTATAAAATCAAAATTCAGCGTGGAGAGAGAACATGGGCAAAGATAGTCAAGGATGGATACAGACACAAGATAGAATTTGAATTGGACTGTGAATATATGTAGTATTTGAAGGCAGAGAGGAGAGGGAAGGCTTTCTGATGGAGGGAAAGGAACGCACAAAAGTCCAGAGGTAATAAATGCATGTGTGAGACACAGAAAGAAAACCATCCTAGACTGAGGAGAGCATGTTTGAGGCTTAGTAAGTAATGGGGGTAGGAAGAATCAGATAAGGCAGGGCTCTGAAAGCCAAGAAAAAGAGTTAAAACATTTTTTGTCACTTTGAGCAAGTTAGAAACCTTTCTAGGTCTAAGTTTTCCCATTGTAAAATGATGGTAGTAATCACAAAATCTATCCTCATTGGATGCTGTGAGGATAAACAAAAACAAATACAAAGTACCTACAACATGAAAGGCTTAATACATGTTAGCTAATACTAAAATATGATAATAAAAGAAATCTTTTGCTGTTTTTCTATTAGAGAAGGCTGTGAAAGGAGAGTTTTGATAAAATTATTCTGACAGGCATCGGACGTCCACAGGTTGGCATTGAGGAGGCCAGCCAGGGAGTGGAAGAACTGGACTAGATCGCCCTGCCATAGAACAAGAAAGAGCAACTCTCAGCACCCTCCCAAATGGTAAAATTGTGAGGGCATACTTGAATATAAAGACTGGAGAGCAGGAATAGTCAAATAATAGCCCAGATATTTCAGCCTATATAACTTAAAAAAAAAAATAGTGACTTGAGAAAAGGAGAAATTGGGAAAGGAGAACCTTACTGGTGGAGGAAGGTAAGTTCTATTCTGGATTTGTATTGGAGGTGACAGCAAGCCATCTGAATAGAAAGATCTTACAAAGGGAAGTGAATACTTACTACTTTTACGACATTGCTGTTTCAACTCTAGGTGGACTCTTAGTGTGAATAAAGTTGACCCTACTCTTAAAATATTCAATGCCTCTTGAATTAATGGGAGAAGAAAGAGAATTGCTGAGCCCACAAAAATGACTAAAAATTTGCAAATCTTTTACCGATGTGGCTAAACCTCATTCTGTTATCACGTGACACTATTCTCACTAGTTTTTAGATTGATCAGTTAGCAAATTTTCATTGATCTTGATGAGCCAGACATTGTGCTAGATGCTGAGGATACAGTGATGAATAAAACAGGTATGGCCCTGATCTCGTAGAGCTTACAATCTATCAGGAAAGATCAACACTATAAATTTTTTTCTGAAACAAGAAACTGTGAAAGATAAAGAATCATCAATCATAAGATGATCATATATTCCATTAGGATTTGGAAAGTGGTTAGTAAAGCTTAAAAAAAAGTATTTCAGAAGAGATACTATGTTAGGTTTCCTTTATATTTATTAGCCTACATTTGTATAAGTGTGTGTTTAAAACTTCTAACTAAATATCAGGTAATCATCAAAGCCAGAAACGATCATGGTGCCCTCACGATAGAGATATTAACGATTGATATACCTTTCACTTCTATTTTAGATTCTTCTTTTGTGGCTCTATTCCTAGAAGCTTCAGTTGGTATGAGAATTACCATTTGATAATTTTGTTATGAATTGCTGAGCCATTTTCTTCATGTTCGAGTCAAATTAGAAGATGGAATCTGATGTCATATGTAAATCTTATCTATCATTTATATTAGATATTTTAAACATTAGAGACTATTTTGCTTAGACTTGGCATTCTTTCCAAAAACAATATTCAGAATTCTGTCTTTAAATGGGTTGGAAAACCAACTAAGAAACGACCCTGCACTAGTTAAAAATTCATGGAGACCATAGGAAGATAGTATGTGCAAGAATATCAAGTGGAAGAACCATGTACTTGCATTTTCAACTAAAACATTACTTGGTTTAATGCAGTTTTAACCTCAGTCATAGTGGAGACATGGCCATATGATTAAAAGTAGATACAGTTCATGTAGATGACAGTAGCATCAAGCTTATCATTCCTACAGCGTTGAACAAACTCCAGTGAACCTTGTTTGGGACCTGGTTAACTAGAGCTTGTTTCAATACCGAAAGAATGAAAAATTGGAACTTCTGTTGTTTGATGAGCCATAATAATCTGAGTACCATCTTGCTCTAGTTTATGTTTAAGCCTTGATGATAGAATTTTCCCAGTGGTAGCTCAAAGTCTCAATGATTTTTTTACTAAAATAGCATATACATTGGGACACTCTATTTCATTCTCTCTATAAAAGTATATATATAATTCCAAGCATGGAATTACTGCTATTTAAAAATAGTACATATACAAATTTCATAAAGATCATTAAACATATTCCTTCTTCCACTGATGAGTTCTAGAAATAAAAAAAATTGCTAGTGAGGTGGTATTATTTTCAACAATAAGGAAGCAAAATAAAACCAGTAGTGATTAAATAATACTCTTCAAGCAATATGAAAGACTTAAAAATATTCTACTTATCATAATGTTATGGTTATGCTATGTAGTCTGGGGATTTAAATAAATATATGACTCTATGCTGACATGAAGATAGAAATGAAACATTAATAGCATATCGCTTTTCTGAGCAAAGACCAGTGTTGAAATTTTTGCAAAGAAGCCATCTCACATGATTCTTCAAAAGAAACCTCTTAATTGTTGTCCATGGAGCAGTTTAGCCACCGTATATGTGATGTCACTCCAAAGAGTTCAAGCAAATGGCGCCACACATACGACCGCCAAGCTGCCACCCACAGCTGTAGTCAGCAGCCGAAACATCGCTGGTTCTTTCAATCAATAAATACCTTGAATGTCTCCTACGTGCCAGGCACTGTTCTAGCTTCTGGAGATTCAGCAGTGAATAAGACAGGTAAGGTGTCCCTGCCCTCATGGAGCTTACATTCTAGAGGATTTCGTCCACACTAATCACTGAGTCCTGGGGAAAGCAACCTGATTTGAATGGGCATAGGCTCTGGAAATTCCTATTCTGATGTAAGACCATCAGCCTGCTTTGAGGTTACAGGTGGTTTTTAGAAAAAGTATAGAGACAGACTAGTTTTAGGGCTGTTTTGCCTAGAACTTTGAGAAGTGGTCCATCATTGGAATGGTTCAAGCCCGCTGAATGTGTGGACACATGCTACGGTGCCGAAGAGAGAGATTCCTACTGATTGTCACAGTTAAATCTTCTGTAAAAAGAATATGAATCTAGAATACACAAATTGATGTATCCAGAAGGATTTCCATTTCATCACCCTTCATATTGAAAATGTGTATGTCAGAATTATTTGTGTTTTTCAGTTACTTATATTTTTCACAATAACAAAGGATAAAATACAACTTAGTAACATGTTAGCCCTGGTTCTTCCAGGTAAGACCAGATGCCTAGTTGGTGTCCTACGTACTTTACATTTAAGCATTATATAAACAATAAAGCTTTTGCATAAATTACAAATTCAAAGTTAATAGAGGAAATACAGCTAAATAAGCAACAACAATGAAAACAATGTTTGTTTAGAAGAGCCTAGTTTTTCTATGCCTTCATTGTTGTTGTCATTGTTTTCTTCTTCATCATCATCATCATTCTAGCATTTTTTGAGTGCTCATTATGTACCAAGCATGGTTCTAAGCCTGTTATTTTAACTCAGAAGAAGAAGTGAATGGGTAGTGTGCATTAATGTACATGAGACTAATGGAATGACTCAAATAGATACTTTAAAGACCATTTGGAATTAAGTTGGTAAAACTCAATAAATATACTGGTAGTGATTTTTCACAATAATGTAGTATCTAGGGAACCATGTTTTGAAGTAATTAAAAACATTGTCTCTTTTAAAAATTTTACTTTTTCTTTGAGGATTATCAGTATGGAATATATTGAATGTTTTAGAAGAAAACTGTTGTATCAAACTTTGTTTCACAGACAAATGTTCCAAATCAAATATACAATTTATATAAAGAGAGATAAGCAAATTTTTGTCTTTCACAGCGAAAAGAAAACAAAGTCATTTAAGTGCTATGTTTAGTTAAGTGTGTTAGTGAAAAGATGTCAGAAACCATAAAATATTTCTGTCCATGTCTCAGGGAAATAATAAAATTCTTTCAATCTTTGAATTTTAAAAATCAGGTAAAAGCACTGAATTAAAATGACCTTAGTTTTTTAATACTTCAAAAATTATCTGCAGTTTTCATAGTAAAAAAGGGGATTATATAATCCTCAAACTATTTTCTTAGTATTTAGTAGTTACTGTAGTCTTTCTTCTATCAATGTCCAGTGTAAACATATGCTTTGTGAAATAGAATTATTTAGAAATATTCATATATACTTGATCACATAGGATTTCATTTGAGCTATACAAAATAACAATATTAATTCATGAATAAAGACAGCAATATTTCTGCAACTATAGAATACCACATGAGGCTTGAGCATTTACAGACAAGTGAAAATATTCTGTTAGTTTCTATAATATTCTTGTTTAAATGTTTTTATTTCTAATGGCATGAAGTTACTTGCATATCCAAATACCAGATTACCTGTAGCAAATTTTACTGTAATTTTTCTTAAAAAATATTTAATAGGTTAAATAAATGATAGCTTGACATGGTGAGAATAACTATACTCATCACCCAGTACGCACGAAAAGACCGTCTTAACGATCATTACCATAAACCATTTCCTTGATGTATAACACTACAAAATAAAAATTCAACTTGAAAATAGTATTTAAATTAAGATTCATAGAACATTCGTAATTTTTTTTTAATAATATAAAGACAAGCAATTTAACCAGACTTGTAAGTCTGCAACTACACATCAGTGAACAAGGGAAATCCTGGAACCACAGGCAAGCTTTGCTTGGGTCAGTATAACACTATCAGATACTGAGTGATCTTTGTCTCGAGCTGTAAGGAATTGGCAAGTGTTAACCTGATGTGGTAGAGAGGATAAAGATCGAGACAATCCCAAGTAGATTTATATGAAAATTACTCATCTCTCTCTCTGACTCGTTATTGGAGTTGATGCAATGGTGGGTTAACAATGTTGACAGAAATATACAGCTACACTCCTGAGTACTTGCTAACTCCTTTAGAAGCAAAATAATACAAAATTATATAAACTGGGCACAACTTAAAAGGCTGAAGAAAGACTGATGGAATGACAGTGGTATGTAAAGATTTGAAGATTCTCAGTTTTTGATGAGAGATACATTTAAAATTAATAACCAGATCAAAGGAGTTCAGATGTTTTAAGAAGACAGCAGCCCAGACACTGGGCTTCAAATCCATGTCTAATATTCTACATTTCATTTAAGAACATTAGCCTTCAATGTAAATTTCCAAGATAAAATATGGAGATGCCTCAAATTAATGTTAAATGTTTTTCAAGCAAATAAACTCAAATTTCTGAGGACCCATAGCACTATTCTAAATTAGTGTAAGTTCAGAGGGGCAGTTTGACGGTTTTGAGTCTTCTGGAGAACGTTGTTTAGTTTACCCTTGCAAATGCCAATTCAGTAAACTCAAAACTTCTTGTCTATTTCAACATTCTTGATTAACGTAACTTAGAATAATTTTGTTGTACTTACGTCTAGAAAGATGAGCAACGCCAGGCACTGGCTTATGATCGTGAACTTCATTTTTGCTTTGGGAAGACGATCTCTCTTGGTCCTGTAAAAAGCAAAAGTAAGAATGGTATTTAAATTGATACAGCTTTGATAGCAACTGTAGCCTTTCTTTTTCTTTCCTTTAACGTGACTTAAAGTGATGAGAGAGAAAAATTACAATTATCTTAGAAGAATTTAGTCCGTCTGAGTGTCTGTGTGTTAAGTCTGTGAATTCCGCCGCAACCAAATCGTGAGCCGATAATCATGTACAGATCTGATTCAGAGAACAAATATCAGCTACAAACTCTGCCACCCCACCTTCCCTTCTTTTTTATGAGCACTGTCGTAGGTGCCATGACCACAGGAGATAAAAACAATATATTACTCAGGCTGCTACAGAGTCAGAATTCCTGGGTTGGAATTGTAGTTACTGGCTTTGTGATTGTGGGAAAGTTGTTTATTAATCTTGAGCTTCAGTTTCCATATCCATAAAATGGAGATAATAATAGTATGGCAGTGGTTTATCAAATCCTTTTCCCTCTTTTTCTGCGAAGACTTACAACTCAGTTTAACCACAGTGCCTTATAAATGACCAAGTGACAGAGAATCAGGTGATATTTCCTCTGAAAATTCCACTCCGTAGGATAGAAACACACACTGTTTTCCAAGCAAGTTTAAAAGGATTGTTGCCCCCCTCCACCAAAAGTTGTTCCTGCACACAGCTGAGCCCATAATTCATCTCCTGAGAAATGATGGACTTGATATCTAGAGGAAGTTAGATGCAGATTGTAGGCACTGTAATGCCAAGACCTGTATAACACATCTTGGCAAATGACCTAATACCTAGATGTTCCAATGTTACAGTGAATGGATGCTAGACAAGTGTGTATACACCCACGTACACACACACACACACACACACACACACACACACACACACACACAAGCTTGGTAGCTCAGTGGTGGTGCCGGAGGGTGGCTTAACATAGGGGGTAGGGGGCTGGGGGCGAGGTGGTAAGAGAGCCGGCATTGATCAATCCTCTAATAGCCTAACTAAAATACAATGAAAGCAAAGACAGTATGCTTGTTATGCAAATGCAGCCACAAGTTTCATTACCCCTAAACCCCTCCCACTAAGAAATTCTTGAGCTACCTCAACACCTAAGGACCAAAAAAGGAGAGTAATAACGGATGATACAAGACATGTGCTAAAAAAGCTAAAATGCATGGGTAAAAAGTTCAGTAAAATGGTAAAAATAAAAGAACGTCTGAGGAGGGAGAAATAATTTCTAATGGGGAGGAATCAGTTCAGGATTTGTATTTTGAGATAGAACTTGAAAACAGAATAGGATTTTGGAAGGCAAAGACCTACTAGACAGAGAAAGAAGATCAAAAATTATAAAGAGATAGGAAAATTTAAGTGTATCTAGAGAATAGTGTATACAATAATTTAGTTTAGCTAGAGCTTAGAGCCTCTCAAGAAGTAGAAACAAGGCTGGTAAAATAAGTTTTTAGTGCCTAGAAGTTTATCACCCAAACCATCCTTTTGGCACTTACTGTGCCTGACAAGCATTTTCTTCTATGTACGCACACATCCTAACAACCTTATGTGATGCTTAATCCTCTTCAGATAAGAATTATTTTTTAGACATCTTTACATCTCTGGCACCTCACACAATCACTTGCTCTTGATTTTTTTTTTTTATAATGGTGGGGATTTGTGGTCTAATGAATTAAATGAAGCATAAAACCCTGTGATTTCTTATGATTGTATCCTCGCTAAACCACCACACTAGAAAGTTGGAATGCATTATTTTCCCTCTCCAATTTCTTGTATCTCCCATATCAGTGACTTGTGCAATTATCTACTCATTAGGCAAATAAATAACTAGGGATCATCCTTGATTCCCTCCACTTCCTCACCTCCAACATCTAGTCTCCAGGACTCTCTGATTCCATGTTAATGCAAGTCAACATCTTTCTCATCACGATACTTACAGCAACCTCTGGACTAGTTCCCTTATTCAAGTCTTGATTCTTTAACCCATTTTCATTACTAAAATGAGATAACCTTATCTCTCTTCACTAATTCCCTACAAAATTTAAGTAACTGCATAAAAACTTTGGCAAGGCGTAAAATACAGGACCTTCCTGTAGCAATAGGCACCAATGTGATCACATGAATATGATCATAGGAACATGATCATATGAATATGAAATTAAAATTGTCTCCTGGATTTATAGCATGGGTGGAAGGACAGATAATGAAGAAATTCAGGAGAGGGGAGTAGTCAGTAGAGGAGGAAGAGCTTTTAATTTGTGTCTTCTCCCTTAATTGGGAATATTATGGCCTGAGCATTCTTCATACCCCGGTGTGAAGGGTAGGACTTTTAAAATGCATACATACTTGCGAAATTGGCACAGCTTTCGATAACTAGATCCTGCTTTTTAAGAAGGAAATCATAGACATACGTTGAATTCCAAAGGTTTGCTGCTTATAATCGTCCTATGATTTAGCCTCTGAGAGAAACAGAACACGTGGAACATTACAGGTGTCAGAATTAAAAGGCGGATCTCTTCTTGACATGAAAGGCCTGTTCATTAATTCTAAATGTGAGAGCTAAGCATAGCAAGAAGCCAGCTTCTCTCTGAAGGTGAGTTTAGGATTAGTAGGCAATTAACTAGCTTGTTCTGTTTATGCCATATATTTGATCTCATTTAATATTTTATAATGTAGAAGTTACTCAGTTTTGACTCAATAGTATCATGAAATTGAAGAGTGTTTGGGGCAGTGTGAAACTGGTCAACTTTGAGGAGAATGGAGCTACACAGTGATCTTACTGCAGGAAAGCGGAGACCCCATGGTTCAGAGCCACACTGTTTTTACAATTATACCATGAGCAACTAAGGTGAATGGAAGTAGTATGAAAACAGATCTGTAAGTGAACATTTGGAAATCACAGAGAGGTTTAGACAAAAAACAAGTCCTTTCTTTTCACCTATTGAAGAGATTCTATAATTTTAAAAACTTTTTCATTATTTTGAATTATAACAAATGCCTCATGTCCAAATTTATATTAGATCTGGCCTATACTGAGGCTGTCATAGTAAGAAAAGTTGAACTGAAATTTTCCTGGTTACACAATGCCTTGTAGACACCCTTCTTTGAGGAAGGTACTTCAGGGTGATTTCTCATGGGGAAGAAAGAAAATATAGGTAGAGCTATGAAGAAAGGGGTGCTTTATAAATTTCAAAGAGAATACCAAGACAAATATAAGTGGAACCAGATGGAAAATGAGGTAATTAACCTTCTTGGGTGGTGCAAATGATTAACATACTCGGCTGCTAGCTGAAAGTTTGGAGGTTTGAGTCCACCCAAAAGCACTTCAGGAGAAAGTCCTGGAGAAGAAAGTCCTGGCTATCTACTTCCAAAAAAACAACCACTGAAAATTCTACAGAGCACAGTTCTACTCTGACACACATGAGGTCGCCATGATCTGAGGAAACTCGACAGCAGCTAACAAAAGCAGTAAGTTTCTTAAAAGGAAGGAGAGAAAAGACTGAGGAAAGGGAAAACTGTGGAAAACCCAGGAAGAACTAACAGAGGCTGAGGGCTTAGTTGAAGGGATGATTAAAGGACTTCATGGATGGATGGGTATATTGAAGAGCAGAATCTAGGGAAATGTTAATGTGGGGTTTTTGATAGGCCAATTTTAGGGTGACGTGTTGTGCTCAGAGTTCAGTGGATTTGAGAATAGTTTTGATCTGAGGATAAAAGACTTAAACCTGGGCCCAAGAAGCAAAGGGCAGAAATCAAGCAAATAAAAATCAATAGAAATAAAACATAATTTGGAAACATTGAGTTTATAGTCATCTAGTATACCAAGAAGATGACTCAGAGAAAACTAGAACAAGGCTTAACTTCAATATTAAATTATTTGTTTACTTCCTTCTTGATAGCTTTCCTATTTGAAAGTAACCTCCTCCACAACAAGGATTTTATTTGCTCACTGTTGTAACCCTAGAACTTAGAAAAGAGCCTGTTGTTGTTGTTAGGTGCTGTCAAGTTAGTTCCAACTCAGAGAAACCGAACATACAATAGAATGAAACACTGCCCGGTTCTGTGCTATTTTAAAAATTGTTCGTTTGAGCCCATTGTTGCAGCCACTGTGTCATTTCATCTCCTTGAGGGTCTTCCTCTTTTTTGCTGACCCTCTAACTTTACCAAGTGTGATGTCCTCTTCGAAAGTATATGAGACAAAGTCTTGCCATCATCACTTCTAAGGAACATTCTGGCTATATTTCTTCCAAGACAGACTTGTTTGTTCTTCTGGCAGTCCGTGGTATATTCAATATTCTTTGCCAACACCATAATTCAAAGGCATCAATTCTTCTTCAGTCTTCCTTATTCATTGTCCAGCTTTCCCAACCATATGAGGCGATTGAAAACACTATGACTCAGGTCAGGTGCACCTTAGTCCTCAGAGTGACATCTTTGCTTTTCAACACTTGAAAGAGATCTTTTGAGGTAGATTTGCCCCATGCGGTACATCATTTGATTTATTGACTGTTGCTGCCATGGGTGTTGATTGTGGACCCAAGAACAACAAAATCCTTGACAACTTCAATCTTCTGTTAATCATAATGTTGCTTATTGGTCCACTTGTGAGGATTTTTGTTTTCTTTATGTTGATCTGTAATCCATACTGAAGGCTGGAGTCTTTGACTTTCATCAGTAAGTGCTTCCAGTCCTCTTCACTTTCAGCAAGCAGGGTTGTCCTCATGTGCATAACGCAGGTTGTTGATGAGTCTTCCTCCAGTCCTGATGCCAGATTCATTTTCATATAATCCAGCTTCTCGGATTATTTGCTCAGCAAACAGATTGAATAAGTATGGTGAAAGGATACAACCCTGACACACACTTTTCCTAATTTTAAACCACGCAATATCCCCTTGTCTTGTTCAAACCACTGCCTCTTGGCCTATGTACAGGTTCTGCATGAATACAATGAAGTGTTCTGGGATTCCCATTCTTTGCAATGTTATACATAAAT